TGTTCAGTCCTGTGACGAAGGGGTGCAGCTCCTTGGGCTTAGTTGGTTTTGTGAGTTCTAGGGTGCAGAGTAGGAAGGGAAGAAGGAAAAAAGACTCAAAATGTCCAAAGTTACTTAGGGAGAACTTTGTCCATAGACGCTGGAAAACCAGGTGTGAAGCGCTGGAGATTAATGCGGAGTCAAGTTTAACTGGTTTTGTGCGCTTTACAGTATAGTCTTTAATTACACACACCTGTATTTGTGTGCTCTAAGCTGCCTCCTTCAATTCACAGCCTGGTCTGCAGAGGAGCCACAGAATTTCAGGAATTGTAAGGCCTCCTTGCTTGCATTTGAGGCAATAGTTCTTGAGCCCAGAAGGATCTGTGTGTATGCAACTGTTGGATGGAGAAGACTGCACTGTACATGCTGCGGTGTTGAAGGACAACTTGTAGCTCTGCTATTTTCCAACCTTGCTCAATACTATTTTAGTGCTTTCTCTGTGTTGTAAGGTATGTGCTGAATTTATTGTATTGGTTAGAATGCTGTGATAGCTTCAAGTGTCTTGTTGCTTCTGTCATAGTAAGAATGATTGTATTTTTTTGAACAATCGTTCTTTATCCTTCCAGTTTCACTGACATCCTCTTTGTTAGGGCAGGCTGATGAGAGAAACTGGTAGATCTTAATTTAGAAATAAAAATTCATGAATTTTGTAATTTGTTACAGATTCCTGTGACTGTAACTTCTGTTCTGCTAACCAGTTGAAAGTTTCACAGAACATCCTATGTGTGAATGACCAAGTCAGAATCATGAGAACTGGTTTTGGAAATACCAGCTGGTTCCTCCCATTAGTAAAAATGACTTTTAATTATCTTTAGGTTAGTGTCAGTTTAAATCTTACTCTCCAGTATTTGCTTTAATTAATGCTGAGGAGGACCTAGATTATGGGACAATGCTTTCTGCTTAAAAAACCCACAAAGGATAGGATAGGAAGACAGGTGCTTCTTGATTCTGAAAGAGAACGTAGTAGTTTTGGCTGTGATTTCTTGATTAAGTCAACAAAGTTACAATTTTCAGAATGAAATACTTACAGCCGAATGAAAATAGATCTACGTGGAACCATTTAAATAAGCCTCAATTTGGAGGTTTTCAACAATCATAGAAACAATATGGATGGACTAATTGTGTTTAATTGTTTGTGAAGTGCTTTTAATTCCTCCAATAAAAGAAGTTAGAGGAGATCCAGATGTTCTCATAACAACATTATTAAGCACGTACCGTCTTTTAAAACTTGTCCCTGAATTATTTTAGCTATTATAGCAGTATTGGATGTAGTGTACTTGCTTTTGTGTTACCACTGTTTTAATTTATGTCATTTCAACTTTACTGTGGGACTAGAAGAATTGCTAGAGAGACTTAGCTGTCCATTGGTGGACCCAGCAATTCCTTTACATTCAGCAGTGGAAGCGGTTAGGCTTCGTGCTGCGTGTAGCACTTCGTTCTTGCTTGTCCAGTACTCTGAAGCAGGAGGTGTACTGGATCACCTGTTTTTGGTTGAACATGTTGGAGTTTTTAGTGCTGGATTTTTTAGCTTGGTTGTGTTTAGGTGTGAGTTTTTATAAGGGGAATAAGATACTTGGCACTTGTGTGTTCTTAAGAGATTGCCTGCACTTCATCATGGTCTGGCTAAGCCCAGGCAGAATCTGGAGTTCCTCTGGAGGCAGCTAATCACTGTCTGGTGTAAGACTGGATTATGACTGTACCGCCAGTGCAAAAGCAATTGTCAGAGGTAAGTTCCTGGTGCAGAACAGAGGTCCTGCTCTTGGGCATTAGGTGGTGGTTTTGCAGGAAAGGCATTTAGAAGTGAGAGCTCAGGGGGAGGTTCCTCCCGGCTGCTTCTAGTTGACAGTGACCGCTGCTGTTCCTGAGCCAGGGGTTTTCTGGGAACTCATGGTGATCAGGCTGTACGCTCCTCTCTTGCTATACCCCGAGTTAGTGGATAAAAAGCTGTTGTGGGAGGCTGAGTTAAGGTAATTCGCCATTACTAGTTCTTACTCTAAAGAGTTTTTGTCCTTTTCAAAGAAAACCAAAAAGGTATTTGTTTAAGCACTGAAATGTATTACCTCCCTCAGTTTCATCTGGAATAAACTTTCTGTGTGAAAGGGCTCCTGTCATTCTTCGTTAAGACTGTGCCCAGCAGACAAAGAGTTTGTTGTCCAGGAGGATGATCGTGCAGAGTCCCGCTAAGCCTGGGTGTGCGTAGCTGTCCCACCAAACTTGGGTGGTGCAGGCAGGTTGTAAGAGTGTGACACACAGAAAGGAACGATGGTGGTTGTCTCCCAAGCTGGAAGTCCTGCTGTTAAATGATCTAGGTTATTGCATAGTTAAAATTCAGATTCAGAAAACATCTCCAGTGTCAGTGTGCTTATAAAGGCTTGTAGTGTACTCCTGTAGGGTAAGTGTATTTCAGTGACTCGTACAGAGTGTCGGTGCAGAACACGTTGTGCTCACACTTTGGTAAAAGTGTACGTTGATGCTGAGTGCGGTTTTACTAAAACAAAGCTGATAGAATGTGACATCTGCGGAAAAGAAAGTGAAAGAGTAAAGACAGTTAAGAGGCAGAGAAGACAAACGCTGGTGTAGTTTTTTAGGGGTGGGGAATGAGGCATGGCAGTAACCCACCCTGTATTTTTGGAACATCTTACAGGGCAGGAGCCTCTCCGTGCAGCTGGTAAGAGATGGGGGAGAAGATGGATAGGCGTCTGGCCAGGGTTCTTAGCCAGCTCCATGTTGTTCCTCTCGGGAAGTCTCTATCCCCTTGTCACTTAACTGTTCCTCTGGTTCAGACTGCATTTCTCAGCAGCACAAATTAAGGCTGAATCTCAACCCCCACATTACTGCGAGCTGTGGGAGGTGTATATACAGGACTATGAACTGCTTTAAAAACATTAGGAAACGTCTAAGGGGAGAAAAAAGTATTAAAAGGTACAGTTTATGTGGGAATTCAAGGACTCTGAACAGAGGAAATGCTGTGTTGATGGCTCCTTGTGCAACATCAGTTTATCCATTTGCCCTTTTGTGTAGAAATGGTTGTATAGTTTAATAAATCATATTCTCATGTGTTTCCCATATAGAACCTTGCCTCATTCAGTATGTGAGTGGCATGCACTAAAAGACTTGGGTCAGTGGTGTGGGGGGCTGAAACTTCTTCCTCTCCCTTGCCCAGCTCAGGTTTTTGGGTGTTTTATTTTGTGGTTTAGCTAGTAGAATTTTTACCTTCAAAGCCTGTGTATTAAGCAATTGCCTCCTGTTTCTGCTAGAAGTGGAAGGACCCCCATTGGATTAAATGCCCATGGGCACGTGGAGCATTTCAGACTAAAGCTTTGCACAGGCACCATTTCTTACTGCGTTGAACATGACACTTGGCGAATGCTGCGGGTTTGCCCCATGTTCATACGATGGTGGATTGTGCGAGCATAAATTTGAGGGCCTTGTAATAAGTGTGGAAGAAGTTGGTCTTTCACAGACATTCAGTAAATTCAGTGGTCTTAAGGAATGGCCTTTATCATCAGTCATGGAAATGACATTTCTGCCTGAATCATGTTTGTTGCCTAGATTGGGACTCCCTTGGGTGCCAGAAAAATAATTCTTTGGAAGAGACAAATGGAAAGTAATCTGTAACCCGTTTCAAAGAATGCTGAGTGTCTAAGCTGAGCAGTACTGTGCATTACATCTTAAGTGTTAGCCTTCATCTTTGCTGGAAAGAATGGAAATATTAAAAATGTAAACATTTAACAAATTTAAAGTTTATTATCTTTAACATTTGTATTGTATTTGATGGGCCAAATCTTGTGGTTTCAAGATACGTATTGCTGTAAAATTGGCCAGTTTTTGATATGAGATTTCAGAATGAAATCTGTTACCATTGCGGTTAAAGCATGTGATAAGTTTGAGGGGGAGTTCAGAGTTCCGTTTGTGCGAATGTTTGGTGTGGGGTTTTTTGTTCTTGTTTTTGGGGGTGATGGGTTTATTTTTTTGTTTGGGTTTTTTTTGAGGGTAACATGATACTCTCAATGACTTCAGCAAGGGTGCCGGTATCATTGCTGATACAAGGAAGGCATTCAGGCCCTTAATTTGTGGTTTTAATACGTTTAAGTAAAAAACTCTTTGTGTGGCAAAGGAAAAAAATGTAAAAATGGTTGTTTTGCTTCCTCCTAAGCTGCCTCCTCTTTTTTTTTTTTTTTTTTTTTTAAAAAATAATGATAAATCAGCAGTTTTAAAGAACGGTTTCTGTTAGAAAACAATGCCTATTTCCAGACACCAGCTGTTGCTCTTTGCTGGTGTTTTGATGAAAATTTATTAACAAAGCAGAATTAACTTCCTTTTAATATCATGAGCTTGTGAGAGGCACACAAGTGTGCTTTACAGAGTTCTTGTGTTCTTTTTTTAAAGGGCTCAAACACACACACTTCGCAGGAGGCTAAGTCTGCTGTCCAGACCAGGAGTCACATCTGGGCATTTGTGAACTTTCCTGAAGTCGGTAGAAGTAGTTTGTGTTTGTTACCTGTTGGTATCGCCCTGGGTTTGTAAGTGTATGTTTAGAATAAGTGCTTTTAGTAGAATTACTCCAGGTACATGAAGAATTTTGCTGATTTGTGCTAGAGGAAGGGAAGATTAAAATGAGGAATGGCTAAGGATGATTAATCCCAGGGGAATGGTGGTTCCTGCATACCGCTTGCCTTGGTGTGTGTCGCCTGCAGCTTTGGGAAGTGCTACTCGTCCAGTTTTTGTTTTATTATGCATGCATTCCCATGCAGGTTATGTGCTCTTAGCAAAAGTGACTTCTAACTCTAAATAATTGTATAACTTAAAAATGACTTGTTTTTCAAAAGTAAATGTAGAATAATGTTTTGCATGCTTTTTTAGAAAAAAAGTTCTGACCAATAGAACCCAGTAAAATGATAGAGGAAAATATTTGCTATATGCCTTGACCATCTGGGCTTTGTTTTTTGTTTTTCTTTGTCGCAGGTATTAAATAAAATATGCTGTTGTCAATAGGAATGCTGATGTTGTCTGCCACTCAGATATACACTATTTTGACTGTTCAGTTATTTGCGTTCCTGAATCTTTTACCTGTGGAGGCAGATATTTTAGCAGTAAGTATATTTTTCTACATAGATAAGATCTCTAGCAAATTGAATCTTCTTTTAAATTCTATTAATGAATCAATTAGTACAATAAATGTTATAGCAGGTTGCTCGGAATGGAATTGCATTAACAGTTTAGTTCAATTAAAAAAAAAAAAAAAGTACATTTTCAAATGGGCTTTCAGATGATGTGTGCTCAGATACCATGACAGTGAAAGTGCTTAGTTACCTTAGTCGTTTAAAAAAAGTTCCAATCTGACCAGATGTCATCTACCATTTTATAACCCTGTTAAAAGAATTCCATGGTTATTTGGTTTAGATGGCAATTTAAGTTTTGGTGGTGGATGCCATTTTGTAAGGTAACTGTATATAAATAAATAAAGTAAAAATAATCTTCTGTGGGTGGTATAATTTATGTCTGTGCTGGATGCCTTGTCAGTAAAGTTTCTGTATGTGTTGCACCTAGATACGTGTTTTTTAAGTAGCTGATAATCTCTGCTATCATTAAGAGTAATATTCTTTGGTGGTGTAGAATTTTAAATGATCAGGCTAATAAACAGTATAATGAACATAGGGTCAGTGGTAAAGTTACTGGGCTATTTATTACTGAATTTATATATTGTGTAGTTTTATGGAGAAAGTTGTATGTGTCTTTGTAGGATAGAGCTTAAGCCACTGAAATAATTAAATCTAAGTACTGTAGTTGCAATGTTCTCTGCTGGTTACAGTGATATCCAGAAGAGTTGTTGTATCAATTAATTCAGAAGAACAGAGTAAAAAACCCCTGAAGCTAGAATAAAAGTACTTAAAAGTTTGTGGTAATATGGAGTTGATGAATACTGAATTATGTTATTTGTTTCTTTAAATTTTTATCTATGAAAAATAATAATAGAATAGTAACAACCTGAAGAGCCAATAAATGCATTAGATAATTGCTTTATTATGGAACTGACATCACCAGTCTATTGTGAAATTTTACACTTGCTTTCTACTGTCAACCTGATTTCCCTTCCCCCCCTTTCCTCTCTTAGCAGGGCTGTGCTTCCTCTTTTCATAAAACTCCCTAATTTTCATTCTTGCTACTTCCTTCCTTCAAAAAGATTTTTAACAAAAAAAACCCAAACACAAAACCAAAACACCCACCAACCTCAAAAAAAAAAAAAAAAAGAAAAAGGCATTTTGGAAGTTTAGTTTAATTTCTTCTCTATTTCAGCTTCAGTGCTCAGTATTCTAAAATAATTCCATCTAAAAATAAAGTGTCTTTTATTCTTGGGTATTTGGAAATTACAGATCTGTTCTGAGACTATCTTTGAAGGAAAAAATGAAGAGATGAACTAGACACTTGTTAAACCTTTGCTGTGAAAAGGAGCCAGTGGAAAGCCTAGGAGGCACTCGGAAGAAGAGGGAATGTTTGCGCACCGTGTCACGTAGAATTGAAGGCATACCGATAGTTTATAATCTTGGGAGATTTCGTAGTTTAGTGATTGTCCATTTGGGGAGCAAAATTCCAGCCAAAGTTTTGGGTTTGCCAACGAAAGGAATTATTTTTTCCTGCTGATTTAGGGGTATTCTTATGCTCCTGTGTTCTCACATAGCTGCGGCCTCAACTGAAGGATTATATTTTTATAAAGTACTGTTATGTGTGTGTGAAGCATGATGGTTATTTTTTAAATAAGGGATTTTATTTTTTAAATAAATAGTCTTATGTCTGACTCCTAGCTTAAATGGGGGCTTACTAAGTCATTCAAAGGAGAACTTACAGTAGCACGAGCTCAGGAGGGACGTTTTGAAGCAGGGAGGTGAGCGAATGGTGAGGATGGAAGATGACGTGTGCTGGTGCAGAACTGTGCTAGGTGATGGCAGGGTGGAGCATCAGGGGTGAGGTGGTGTGGAGCAGATTGATTACACAGAGTGAAAACGCTTCCTTGAAATTTAGCTCCATTCCTACCTCTTTACCCTCAATTTTAATGAAGTCTATGGGGAGGAAGCTCCTTTGAAATGTTCTCCTTTGAAAGAGTTAAGATAAATCACGGTAGTGTTTTTCTTTGAACTAGAGTTTGAGTTCCCCCGTGCAAGTCTGGCTGTTGGGAGATGTCTTGTCCCTCTGAAGAACTCACGGTCCTTGCTTGGCCATTCTGTGTGGCAGTTGGGTGATACAATGAGCAGGCAAACGTCTCTGAGTCACTAAACTGTTTAATAAAACTTACCAACTGATGTGCATTCAAGCCAGTTACTGTGTTATTCACAACTTTTATGAGAAACTTTCAGTGAAAAAAAAGATTTTAGCCTACCTGCAATTTGCACTTTTCATTGTGTGGATTCTGCACTGGTTAGGCATGTTGTAGAGCTACAAAAGAGGAACAAGGAAAGGGGAAACAAAGCTTCCACAGATTTAAGGTGTTTACAGTATTCCTCCGTTTTGAAATGAAAGCTCATAGTTAGCATAAACCAAAACCGTAGAGGTAGTTTTCAGCTGCTAACCGGAATAGGTAGCAGGGGATTGAGAAGGGATGACCTATGGGGGCTGTTCTTTGCCTACAATAAACCACCTGTTAAAAGCTGTTCTCTGTGCGCAAGTGAGTTCAAAGCAAAAAACCCACCACCACCATGCAAAAAAACCCCCCACGCCCCAAAACCCCAGCTCTTCAGACTTTCGGGGTTTGGGTTGTTTGTGGTTTTTCTTCTGCAAGTATGATGTTACTTGAACTGTAGACAGTAGAAAGCAAGATTTAACATACAGGTAATTCAGCGAAAGATCTACTACTACTTTCTTGTTTTGACAACTGGGTAAGAAGAGAATGATGTTGCCATGTGAGTGGGAGACAAGTGGAAGAAGCAATTTTGTGGTTTCATTGACACGGTCACAAGAGGTCCTATGTCTGATAGATATTTTAATCTAAAAAAAAATGTGCAGTGTGGTTCGTTTCTATTTACACTTGTTACCTATTGCTCTCTTGTTGCAAACCTGAATTTTCTTTAAAATTTATTTCTCATAGTATAACCTCGAAAATGGAACCCAGACCTTTGATGATCTGCCTGCTAGATTTGGCTACAGACTGCCAGCAGAAGGCTTGAAGGTAAAAAAACCCCTAAAAAACATGTATCCTGAGTATATGTATATATATAGAGAGAGGGCTGTGTCTGCTGAACACTTGTTCTGCAAGCTAAAAAGGAATCATTTACACACCTGTGGCGACCGTGAATAGCCCATGGGGGGAGAGAGCAGCTTTGCTGCTGGTTCTATCCATAGCCTGTATGGCTGCAGCATTGCTGATGTGAGTAAACGATGTGCAAGAATTGCAGCTGATGGGAAGGTACATGGTTGGATCACTTTTTGATTACACGGTGTCCTTTTAATCCCGAAGGGGAGTAAATTGCTGTAAGAATTCCTGGAACTCTTAAGAATTCCTCTGCAAATGAAACCTCAGGATGACATCATTTTCATGCCCAGGGGGTTTTGTCACGGGGAGATGGAGTGTTAGAGCTGTATCATTGTTTGCTGACAATATGGAGAGACAGAGGGTGATTAAGTGATTTGGCCAAGTAGTGAGCCAGTTTAATACATCAAAAATAGATATAAGGAGCTTTGATTCTAACCTTTTTAACTGTTAGACAGCTCTGTGTCGTAACTAAGGTAGATGTTGTCACCTGTGTGGAAATAATGAGTTTTAGTCTTGAATATAATACAAAAACTTTTTTCTTTGTTTGCATTAAGATTTTAATTATTTTTTTTAAAAAAGCTATGATATTGCTTGAATAGGGTGAAAATGGTATACTTTTTGAATACTTACGATTAAGATTTATTAATATGCAACTTGTAAAACAAAATCTGTGAGATTCTCTAATAACTGGTGCCCAAGCATAAATGTAGGTGGTGCTTCTATTTTTTTTTTGACTTGGGTGCTCTAGTCATGAGGTGGTCAGTTGTTTGTGCCTATCTCCTCAACTACAGATACTTAAGAATGTGTGGTAGCCTTAAGAAAAAGACAGTCTAGTCATAGTTAGCCTTTGGTTTCTATGTATGTGGTTCTCCAGCTGTAATGTGCCGTGGTGTGATCGGTGTAAAACTTCTCTGTAGAATGCGGTTGGTTCCAGACACACCCTCCAGTTGAAGAGTGAATGCTTGACGTGAAGCTGCGTCACATCAGTAGCGTTTGCTGTATGACTCGGGGAACCTTAGGGGCCTAAATTTGGCTGTCAGCAGATCAGTGTAGAATTTGCAGTGGATATTGCTTTTAATTGTCATAGACTGTGTAATGTGCCTGTCACCATGAACTTGGCGAAGAACAGGTTGCTGGTGCAGCTTCTTTGCCAAAAGGGATGTTATCACCACAAAAACCTATTCCTCAAAACAAAATTGCTTCTCTCTGTAGTAGGCTAAACTTTACAACTAATATATATAATCTTACATTTTATCCATAAATGTATAAAAAGTACATTTAAACTGACAGCTTATATATGTAAAGCTTATATATATACAGTTTATATATTAATCATATATTATAACTTACATGTATTTTATATATTTAAACTGACAATTTATGGGTAAGTTTATATATAATTACGTATGTTATATAATATAATTATTATAGATAATTATTGTTTCTACACAGATGATGACATCTCTATGTGTCTAAAACTGTCAGTGAAAACTGAGTTTAAAGCTCTCAAGGATATCTAGAACTGTAGCAATAATTTCTTGAGCCCACAGCAGTGCAGCTTCTCGTGATCTTTATTTGCATAGAACAAATTCCTTTTATTCTTATTTTCTGGCCCTTCACTGCTCTTTATCTGCATGGTAATTTGCTCTAGCTTTAACCCGGGTCTAAACGCATTTGGACGGTGTAGGAATATTCTTACAGCCAACGGTACTCCACTGTGTTAGTGCCCGGAAGCCCCTGTCACGCAGTGACCTTGCTGCACGAACGCTTTACCAGGAAGATAATTGTTTTGAAGATCAGGTGCATTTCAAATGAAGGGTAGACAAAACCTCCTCTAGGTGTGCATCTGGTCTTTTCTGTATCTTGGTGATCAAAGCCTGTTGTGGAGAGACTGACAGAAGGGAATCCAATTAATATCAATCTGATTATTAATTAACGAACTAATTAATATTAATCTAATTCATAAAGAAGCTGCTTTTCAGGTGATCTAGAGATTTGACCAAGGAAGCCAGCGCATTCTAGGAAAGGAAAAAGGGCAGGTCTGTTGTCTTTCGAGCTAGAACCAGGAGTGGTGTGTAGCGTGCGTGATATTCTTTTGGCATCTGCCTTGCATAAATTCCCATGCCAGCAGTGTTCACAGAGCGTCGACAGCATCAGGGAAGAAAGTCCCAGGCAGTAGTCAACCCTGAAGTGACCACGTTGTGGAGAGGGGCCAGTGCCAGGGCAGTTGGTGTTCAGGTCAGCGTGTCTCCTGTGAGGGGAGATGTAGAATTTTTCGGCAGGTGTTACAGCATGAGGTTAGGAGAGTTTCTCCTCCAGACTTTTTCAATGGTGTACTAACTTGGTCACCTAAAAACAATCCAAAGGTTGCTTCAAGAGTGATATTGCCAGAATTTCCTACCTCTGTGACTCTTGCAGCTGTAGCAGATTTGGTGGTCCGTAATCTTTGCTTACCACAGTCAGCCAGCTGTTTCGGATGCCAGCTCAGTGCCACTTCTGCACACCTCACTCTCTTCAGTTTCCACGTGTAATTGCCAAGTACTAAGTTCATGTTAGTGCTTCTTAAGCTATCGTACTTCGGTTTTCTTGATTAGTCTCCGTATGTCTCAGGATAATAGTTCCACAGTATTCGTGTAGTATATATGGCCCTCTTGATGCTGAATTATACTGCAAAGTCTGAGTTATGAACTTCAGATGATGTAATTGGAAAAACTGTGTTTTATTTCTAGCTCTTTACAGACATAGATTCTGATGGATCAAAATAAATAGTCAGGGACGTAGAAGAAATCTTGCTATGATGTAGGACCGAGTTGCTGATAAGAATTTGCTTAGCTGTTGTCTGAAAACATAGTTTTCTTCCCTTATACTTGTCTGCCAACCCTTTTGTTAAGACGAGAAGTGAATCTCCTGTTTCTGTTTTCTAGGGATTCCTAATAAATTCAAAACCAGAGAACGCATGTGAGCCTATAGCCCCACCTCCACTGAAAGACAACTCATCCAGTGCTTTTATTGTGTTGATTCGAAGGCTTGAGTGCAACTTTGATATCAAGGTAAGATTTTATTTTTTTTAATTTTCTTGCCTGACCCCTCCGTTTGAAGGTCTTAAAGATTTTACTGGTGCTTCAGAAAAATATCTGTAGCTAACAACAGGATAGATACTGATGTGAAGGGAGGGGAGAATTTTACTGTCTACAGACAGATAAAGCAGTATTGTAATATGACTTAGTTTAAGATTACCTGTTCGTGAGCCAGCTTACGTGGCGAGTAAGGATGGCAGATGCTGCAGTTCTATCATAGAAAGCATTCAGTAGCAGTGTCAGCTTTTCTTGCCAGTTCAGCTCTGCTGCCAGGGGTCACAGGGGAGAGTAGGGAACTGAGATAACAAAAGCACCCAAAATCTGCAAGTCCCTTTCTTGATTTATTTTTGTTTTTAGTAGTTGGATCATCTTCTTATGGCTTGCACTGAGACCTCATGAACAATGGTAGTGTCACAGCTGGTTGCTGTGGAGAGGAGACAGTGCACTGCCAGGTAGAAACAGGCACAAGTGGCAGGATGGAATGTTTTTAAATGGGTACAACAGCTAGGTGTTATATAATGAAATACTTATCTTACAGAAGTTTTGACTTGCAGCTGGAGTATTCTCTGTGTTGTTTTAAAAATACAAAATTAGAATTATTTGTGTTTGGCTAGAATATATGGTTTTCTGGAAAATCAACCTGATACATGGGGCAGCAAAGGATGTCGTAAGGAAAAGAGAGCCCTTCAATTTGTTGTTGGCTTTTGTGAACTGAAAGGAGCTGTATTTGCTGCTGTGCGGTATGCTCAGTTATGTGGTGTGGTGGCTTGAACATGCAAATTCCACGTAGGCTGTAGATTCTGGCTGTAGAGGCAGCCTGCCTGCTCAGCTCATCTGCCTTCACATCAAACTCGGGAATGTCACGTATTTTGTATAGTGAGTCCTGTCACCGGGTGCGTGTATGGCTTAGTGGGAAAAGGAAGGGCGAACAACTGCTTGTCTTTTTCATGTCCTCTTTGCTTATCTAATTGCTGCCCCTAAGCTGATGGCACAGTGCTACTGCTGAAGGCACTGTTAAAGGAACAGGTTGGAATTTTTCTAGTGGAATACATTTTTAATCAAAAGTAGAGCAAATGCTTGTTCGCTGAAAACAACTTGTTTTGTTGAAGAAGTAGACATTATGATTGAACCTTCAGCTTTTTTACTGGGGTGCTAGACCAGAAAAATCACACCTTTGTTGCTGGTTACCGTCTGAGATTCTGAGCAGCTTTGGAAAGCTGCTCAGCTAAAGGCAAGAGCCAGGCAGGGGGAAGATGTGCAGAATTGCTTTTCGACATAGCTGTCGACTTCGTAAATATGAACTGTTATGTTTTGATCTTACACGTCTTGACTTGCCACACACAGTCCATGAGTGTTCCTTGGAGAAAATGGAAGGTTTGTACGTTACCGTTGAGGGATTTCCATGGTCAGTTCTTAAGGATCAAGTCACGCTAGCTCTGTATGTAAGCATTTTTGGTGATGTTTTAGCAATATGGATGGAAAAGTGGATTGCTGCTCATTTCTTTATTGGACAAAGAGCAAGGTCGAAGGTGGATCAGAAGTTCCAAGGCAAGCATGGGTATCTATGTACGCACTGGCCAGGGAATTCACTTTTATACTGCGTTGTTAATATGACTGCAATATTGCGTTACGTAATTGCATACGTACTGTGGCATTTTGCCCTGAAGTTTCTGCCAGGAAGTGCCATGTGCACTGAGGTGGGTTTTATATTGCGGATCGGCTACTTGGCTGACAGGATGCAGATTTTGACAGAAACTGGAGTTTATTTTTAAGTCCCATCTCTCCTTCTGTTTTACGCTGGAAACTACAGATAGAGGTGCATAGCTGTTTCTTGATTTTTATTGTGTATGAATCTTTACTAGGCTGGAAACTGTCTCCTCTTGCCTTCCATCTCTCTTGGCATCTAGTGACTTCTTACAGGAAAAATTATGTCACAGTAGGAAAGGGTAAAGGCTGGAAGCAAGTGGAAGCAGTTCAAAGTCTTTTGGAATGTGTCTTCTCACTTGTAATAACTGATTTTTACTGCTGTTTGTGTTGGTGACCAGCGTGGGAAGGGACTGGTCAAGAGAGGGTTGTGCTGTGCTTTCAACTCCTGTGTAGCTAGTGAACTTGTTTCTGCAGCCTGTGTTTAGGGTCTGGTCATCAGTGACTCTGAAATACGTTGTTGACATCCTGTAGGAAGCATCACATATTTTTATGCCTACATAAAACGTTTGTTCAGCAAAATAAGCATCATGTAAAATTGTGCTGCTTATGAGAAAACTTAATAGAGTGGTCTGGGATTATATCTAATTTAAGTAAATGATACCTCGCTATATTAGAACTGCCTCTTCAGGCACAAAAGCCGGAAAATACATCATTAAAAATTACCACATATTATATATGCACTGTGGATATTTTCTGCAGTGATGTAATATTGGCCCAGCCATGCATTTCTGTTTACATCTCAAACTGATTTTTTTTTTTTAATATTGGGATTTCTCAAGGTGTCTGCATTTTCCAATAACATTGTTCTGCTGTTTGGAACGTAGTTGTTAGGAACATGGGGAGAGAATCTGAATTGATGGCACTCTGCGGCATGTAGCAGCAGTTGAGCAAAGAGTTGATTGTTGTTTTCTCATAGTGGAAGGCTGCTATGCAGTAAGAAATCACCTCCTGAAGCCCTACCATCCTGCTTAGGTATAGCTTAAAAATGATTAATGCTTCAGTTTTGATGCACAATTAATGTTTTTTTTGTTGGGGGCACTGGTCAGCAGGGTGAAGCTGCAGCTTCTCAGTATAATTGAACAGGTGGTTGCTGCTGCCTTTTGCAGCTAGATGGTGTCTCAGCCTGTGCTAGTTCACGGTAGCTTGTGGAGAAGGTGCCTGGCTGTGATTGTGTTAACGTCAGTCTTTTCTAATGCCACTGGAGTAACCCTGCGTCAACATCTTGTAGGCATATTTGTGTGTGGTTTTACACAAACACAATCATTTAATAATCCAGTAATTAAACAAAGGACTTGTGTTATAAGTGTCAAAGTGTGTAAGGAACTAAAATGTTTCCTTAAGTAACATAACTTATTTACTGTCTGTCCTGAAGGACATATTTCAATGAATGATGGACAGTTGATAAACACCTATTCAGGACATGATGTTAAAGAAATAAAACAAGCAAACAAAAAAAATTAATACTACAGTCACCAGTTACCATAGCACATTCATGTGGATATGAAGATTAAGAACTTGTGATAACCAGGGAGATTTAAAGCTCGGTGAACTTTGGCATTCCTTTCTTCAGTTTCAGCGGTTGGTGATTTGTGGTGTGTGTTATCCACAGTGACTCCGTTACTGCCCTTGTGTGTCACAAGCTCAGATATGTAGATGCTCAATGCATTTAATTCTTTCCTTGCTTACTTTTGACTGTTTGGTTTAGAATTCTCAGGCTTTTTTTACTTTTTGGCCTATTTTTTCTATTGTGCAGCATGCAAGAAGGCTTTATATTTCAAGCTTGACCTGGAGAACTTTTGTTTTGAGAATAATCAGAAGTTTTCCAGCTTTACAGCTCGTGGTCCTCATTATTGTTTGTCTCTTTAAGAAGAGAAATTGGGAGTGTGTGTATGTATGTGTGTACAGATATACATAGGCATTTCCCCCTCTCTTATCTTTGAGGGTAGAGGTTTTGAAAGAAAGCACCAGAATTTTCCCCTGGGTTTTTCGGATCTGGTGGTAAGTCTGCTGTAAAAGAGAGGTGGTGGTGATTTCTTGGTGAATTAGTGTAGGGCAGGGTTCCATAAGGTTGGTTTGTGTGTATGTTTGTTTGTAAGGGTGGTGCTGTAGTTGGCATTTGTGGACTGATTAATAAAGCTGTTGCGATGCCGTAATATCCAAATCCAAAGTGACTTTTCAGCAAACTAAATGGCAGCTGAGTAGCCCAGAAAGCTGGGTGTCTTCCAGTTTCGAAGGTATGTACAGCTGTGATCTTTTGTTCAGCTGTACTTAATTGTTGTTTGCCCATTGCGTAAATACCTATTGGCATTACAGTCTCCTTAAATAAATACATGCATCTAAGTGGAAATAAAAGCTATCACCGTGTCCCATGCTAGCTCAATTCAGAGCAAATCTGTCCAGCTGTAGTATTATGTTGTTTTAAGCAGGAGTTGTATGCAGGATGAAACCCAAATGTCCCTCAAGGTTCTCTAGTGCTTTTTGCATCTTGTGATGAGTTTTTATACTGTCATGGATGGATTAGAAGCAGATTAATAGTTGTAACTTAGTTATGTTTACATTAGTGGTAGTCACTGCAGCAAATGCCATTTACACGGACCTTGGGCTTGGCTTGTATTGACAAAAAACCCAGTATCTATCGGAGGCTTAACTGGTACACAGTACGTTTACAGTTTTGTAGCCATATTTATAGTTTTGTACTTTTCTGTGAGAGAGCTTCTGGTACCTTGGCTGTGAAGTAAGATATTTCCACATCTCTAAAGGCACAGAAAAGATACTACTTCTGTGACTTCATGAGCTCTCGAGCGGTAATTTTTAGTTTACAAAAGTAAGTTAGAGCCTTTGTTTTCAATTATGATTAAATACTATTTTTATCTACCCGTACATCTGTTTTTTTTAATACATGTTAAAACTGTCTACAGACAATATTAAAGTATTTTTAAAAAAATAACATAATTACATGAGCATAAGATAAATTATATGATTTTATTTTGAAAGGTGACGCTTGATTTGTAAGTGCAAATGGTGTTGTGCTAATATCTATAACTTCCTGAAAGTGTACCTTGTCTTAGAGAGGACAGACAGGTTACTGTATTTTGAAGCAGTAGTCTTTCTAATAAGTATTTTGTGTGGCTTACAGGTTTTAAATGCACAGAGAGCTGGATACAAGGCAGCTATAGTTCACAATGTTGATTCTGATGACCTCATAAGCATGGGATCCAACGACAGTAAGTACAGGTATCACTTCTTCTCTCCTGTTTGAAAATCATTTCACCCACTAGAGTGTACTAGATCAAAATCAATATAAAGTGTTATGATGAACTCTCACTTTAAAAACAAACAGAAAACCCCCCAAAACAAAAACCCCACACCTCCCCAAAACAACAAACCACCATCACTACCAAAAAAACCCCAGAGAAAATCCACCCCAACCAGCAATCCTCCTGCTTTTAACAGTTTAAAATGGGAGAAGGTCTTATAAGAACATGTATATATACTTGTGTATTATTTGTAGCATTGTTTGTACATTCTCCAAGTGTTTCTTTTGTTTTTCCTTTAAATTTTAGTTCAACTGTTCTGGGTTAAATGGTTAAATTTATGAGACAGATTGATATGACTGATGTGGAAAATAGCTGATGTGTTGTTAATTAAGTAGAAATACAGGAAAAGTAGAAAAACTCTTTTGGAAAGAAGTCAGACTTTAAAATACAACTTTTTAGTGTTTGTTAGTGGTTCCATTTTGTTGTTGCACTGTTGTGTACATTTTCTGTTCCTTTGGACAAACAGATTCTAATTTCATATGAATACATATTACATGTATGTATTTTCGGTTGGAAAAAGAATGTTTAGAGACCAGTGTGCCGTTTTCTGATTGATTCTGATGCTAGCTGTTCCGCTTTTAACCTTTCGTGGCGTGAATATGTTCAGAACATCTTGTAATCTGGTCAAAATGTTGGTTTTGTTCTGTGGCATGTTTTTTTTGTCTATAGTGCTGTTACGACTGTCTGTGTGGCATTTCTTTATTTTGTCCCGTTTTCAAGCTTGCTCAAATGGAACAAGAACATAAGTGAGAACAAAAAAAGTCTTTCCAAGTGGAAACACCATTGAGTAAACTAGGAAGTGCACTTTCAGCAAACTATATGGCAGCTGAGTAGCCCAGAAAGCTATGTGAACGTGGTTTTAATGAATTCCCAAGCCGTGTGAATCTTATTTTCAGGTTTTGCTGAGAAATCAAATTGTAGAACAAGTTCACAACAAATGCAGACTTGGCTGGTGTGAGGTGACATTAGACCATGTATGCTTTTGCCTTGGGGAGCCTGAATGCTCTTACATTGACTAAGCTCAAGATGCTTTGACCCTTAAATGTGAAGCATAGGTCAGAGGGGCAAATCAATATAAAGTGAAGCAGAGGAGAAGGCTTTCTAGAATATGGGATTTATCTTTCAATAGCTTTTAGATTGTGCTGCATCTTTTGAGCTTATTGTTGCCCTTGGTAGTAGGCAGGGAAGGGGGAGACAGTTCCATCCAGTTTCTTGAGATTGAAATAAAGATATGGGATTTGTTCATTCTCTTTTTTCTTCTTTCTGACCTTCTCTAGCCACAGCTGTTTCCAGTGTGTTCATTTATGTTTAGGGTGAAAAGGAGGGAAGAAAGATTAATTAAAATTTACAGTACCAGATCACAAAATGATACAGGTTGCCAGAAATTCTAGCAATCAATGGAACTGTCTGACTTTATCAAGCCTCCGAGTAGGAATGATGTTCTGGTTTAACTTACTCTGATGTCTCTTTTTTGTCAAAATGTTCTGGTTTTATGCTCTCTTTAAATATTCCATTAAGAATTTTCGTCTGTATACTTGCAATAAAGTGCCTAGATATTCTGTAAGAAGAATTAATACCACTTCTCATACAATGTTAAGACGTAGCATGCATGTGCATCAGTCTATATGTTATGTTAAAATAAGTCTTCACGTTGTGAGTCTCATAATGTTCAAGTCTTACGTCTTAAGAGCGCCCATAGAGTATCTGCATAATAATAGTTTTATTTTCCTGCCTTTTTTTATACAGTTGGCGTTTTAAAGAAGATTGACATTCCTTCTGTCTTTATTGGTGAGACATCAGCTAATTCTCTTAAGGAAGAATTTACTTACGAAAAGGGGTAAGCTACCTCACGTGCAGCTGTGTTATTCCTTGTGTTAAATCATTGCCTTTTTTAATATATATGTATTTAAAATAGGATGATGTGAAGACAGAGGCTGTAGGTATTCCAGGTGAAAATCTTGTGCCTGAGAGCAATGGGCAGAAAACATTTTAAAAATTATGTAAATTGCTTTCCAATGAGTGGATTGAGGGCAGTCATGGGGAGAAGGACTTGGGGGTGCTGGTGGGTGACAGGATGAACATGAGCCAACCGTGTGCACTCGCAGCCCAGAAAGCCAACCGCATCCTGGGCCGCACCAAAAGGTGTGTGTCCAGCAGGTCGAGGGAGGTGATTCTGCCCTCGTGAGACCCCGCCTGGAACAGTGCATCCAGCTCTGGAGCCCCCAACACCAGAGAGACATGGGGCTGCTGGAGCGAGTCCAGAGCAGGGCTACCAAGTTGGTCAGAGGGCTGGAACACCTTTCCTACAAGGACAGGCTGAATGAGACACGGGCACAGGTTGCCCAAGGAAGTTGTGGATGCTCCATCCCTGGCAGTGTTCAAGGGTAGGTTGGATGGAGCCTTGAGCAGCCTGGTCTGGTGGGAGATGTCCCTGCCATGGTGAGGGTTGGAACTAGATGGTCTTTGAGGTCCCTTCCAACCCCAACCATTCTGTGATTTATTAAATGGTAATCCTTTCATTTTCATGTAACATTAAACATAAAAGTTTAGCTAATGATCTAGGAATCGCAGAAATGCATGTATTTCAGATCTAAAAGTGTGTTCCTTTACAATGTATGTCAGTTTCCATTGAAGTCAGATGCTAATCTTTAAAAAAAAAAAAGTCATCCTTTATTAATAGTTCTAGAAGAAGTCAGAGATCACTTCCTATGCTAGGTGAATCTGTAGGATGCATTTAAGATTATTCTAACAGGATGCATGAGGTTTGCACCGCTTCTGTTCTGATTTTGTTTAAAAATTTTAAAAAGAAAAGCATTGCGAGAACAAGATGGTTAAAATATATACCTTGGATGGAAAAAGTGTGTTTTGTGTTATTGTTCTAATGATCTTGCTTCTTCAGGTCAATCTGTCCTTTCACTAAATTAATCAGAAGAACTAGATTGTGTCATTAAGTAGACAACTTGCTGATGAAACTACTTGATAAGTGAAGTGGCTATAGAAGAGTAGCGGTAGTAGAACTACTAACACCTTTATACATTGTACCTTCTCAGGTGTTTCTGACTGCTTGTGCCAACAAAATAGTAAAGGGATTTTACTTCCTTAAGTATCAATAAACACTAGTATTCAGATATTCAGTTGTCAGCATCTGTATCAGGTTCTCTAGGAAGATGTTTGTTTGTAGTGTAATTTACCGACTCTCCAGAGGACAAAGGGTGCACTGTACCATACTTCATGATTTGAAACTAAAACTTCTGTATAACCAAAATGCTTTAGTAACTAAGAATGATTTCACAGTATCTTTTGATAGTCATGTATTTTTCTCATTCTGCTATCAAAGCAGCTATGAGGTTGTTTTCCTGGTTGCTTTAGATTTATTTATGATTGAAGTCAGTAAGTAGTTTTAACTCCAAAGTGTTCTAAGAAATATTGTTTTATCTTTTTATTTAATTGGCTTTACGTTATGTGGATACCAGCTGAGTTTTCTATGTTGTTGTGCGCAGGCAGGTGTTCCTTTAGTGTCTATAACCTTTTGTTTTAAAGTGGCTTTTTATTTTATTATTTAACTCATTGTTCATTAAATTCTAACCAATTTAGAAAGTGTTATCTTTTTCTTCCCACAGTGGCCATGTTGTGTTAATCCCAGAGTTCAGTCTTCCGCTGGAATACTACTTAATCCCTTTCCTAATAATAGTGGGGATCTGTCTTATTCTCATCGTCATATTTATGGTAAGTTCCTTCTTTTAATAATGTTCTTTCTTTCAAAGAAATCATCGGAGAACTGTCACTACTGAAATTAAATGGAGGGATACAGTAAAGGAACGGCGAAAGCTTTGTGTGCTGTGCATACCTGTACCATGCTTACCTGTAAGCCTTTGTTTTCTCAGCGTGATAATCTGGTGCAGAATTTTGGCAACGGGGTGTCAGGACCCCTTAGGATGTTCTGTCTGGCATATAACTAGACAAAGATTTGTCCTCGCTGCTGCTGCTCTTCCACTGCACAAGTGCTTTCTTTTCCTCCCCGTAAAGAATGAGAGTGTGTCCCACCTTGACAGACTTGTGCTTAATAAACATTAGTCCCAGTGTTCCACAGTGCAGGTCTCGCTATTTCTTACTGCAGGTACAGTAATCAGTCAGCAAGCTCAGAACCTGGTACGGCTTCTCGCATATATCTTGCAGCATATACATTACTTACAGAGGTTCTCAGTTGGGCACGTGTCCCCTATGAGAGGTGAAATAATACACCTGTGTACTATTTCAGAATACTTAGCATTCCTCTTCTTGGAATCTCTGCTGGTCTTCGACCGGTTTGTTGTTTTACCTTTTAATAAAAATTAAGTAATGCATCAACTGTTCCATAACATTTTTTTTAAAAAAAAAAAAAAAAACTTCTTTCTGTCTTGGGTGGTTTTTTGCACTGCAAGTTATGTATTTCGTTGACAATTCTGGGCATGTTTGGCACAACCAAAATTGCAGCCACTCTCTGAAAACAAAGCAGAAGTGATCAGCTAGAGACGATGTAAAATTCACTGATGCTTTGTCTGACCTTCTGGTGATAACCTTGATCACAGAGGACTTTGTCTCAGTTAATTAGGTGAACGTATAGCCTTATCATTGTATCCTGAAGGTCAGCAGTCTGAGGAAGGAGATGGTATTTCTAAAGGAGAGTGGTCACTGGGGATAATAGTCTGTGAACATGTGTTGTTCTGAGACCATTAGTATTCCAGCTTGAGCTTCACTAATAAGCTGCTTGTAGTGCACCTAAGTTGAAAATTCAAGCAAAATATTGGTTATCTAAGAAATGGAATGAAGAAGGCTGTGAAAGGGACTGTAGCATCATTTTGAAAATCGTAAATACTGGCATTGCCCCTATCAAAATAAAGTGCGAAGCACTGATCCGTCACTTTTCAGAAAGATACTGATCAGGGAATGAGGTGAAAGAATAGTTAGGGGGTCTCTTATTTAAAGAATGATTTAAATCTAAGATTACTGTTGAAGAGAAAACTAATGAAGGGGCGGGGAGGGGGGTGGGGCTGGGCAGAGGAAAACTGTGATCATGAGGAGTGTGAGCTTGGCTTTTATCGTGACCACCACTGTGGAAATTGAGAAATAACAGATGGGTTTAATCTCAGGATATTTCTTGGTATTTGCCTTCAGAGTTTTTTACCAGTTCAGCTGCTTTTGTTTTTAGATAAGTTTGTTGCAGAACTTCCTTATGGACTTCAGTGCTGTCATCTTCAGGTCAAGAAATGAACTAAATTACAGACTGATTTGCACCAGTCACTTAAGCAAGGAGCTGGTTGTGTAACAAACACAGGACTAATCCCACTGAAAGGATGCCTCTCTTTAGAATTGCAGATGTTTACCTTGCTATGAAAACAGCAGTTTTCTGCATCAAAAGTTGCATTACAAATGTTATAGGAGTGAGCTGAGCAAATTTGTAAAGTGTTTGTCTTTAGGGCGTAAGGGAGTTCTCTTAGCAGAAGCTGTGGAATCACAGAAGGGTTTGGGTGAGAAGGAACCTTTGAAAATCATCTGTACGCCCCCCCCC